TATATTATTGCATTTTTGGCTTCCTTTCTGATCACTTTACATAATCCTATGACATTAAGTATGTTTTGATTGGTCTCAGAGATTCTAGTAGTCAGAAATATTAATAAATAAATAAAAAATATTTTTTTAGCCTTTTAAAATAAAATATAAGAAACATGTAAATATCGTAATTTTAAACCATACAGAGTGTTCAAAATTCTACGCTAATTTTTTTAAAATATAAATTAATTTTTATTGTTTTTTATAAATGCGACACCCCAAATATTTTTCCGAGGGGTGTCTCTTGGGTAAAAAATGTACTTGCACTGCCAAAATATCATTTTACTGCCAAGCGACTGCCAATAACTGCGATAAAGACTGCCTATGACTCCCATGTAATTATTATAGGCGACTGCCGTAAGACTGCCTAGAAAATGCACATGTAATTCTAATAATGAGACAACCCTCGATTATTTCTTTGTTAGATGAAGAATTAAAAAATGACCACTTTTTGTATTTAAAATATTTTAAAATTGTTAGCCATTCGCTAAAATATTGGCGTTTTTATTACATATGGTTCTTTCAACGGTAAAATACAAGACAAAAATCATTAGGTATGGTTTTAATAAAAAAATACTGTTGAAACCCCCATATGTAATTACGAATGTCCCCAAAACCGTTAAAAATTTTGAAATACTTTAATAAAAAATGTTAATTTTTTAATTCTCCATCTAACAAAGAAATAATATACCTATGGGGTGTTGCATTTAAGAAAAACAAGAAAAATTAATTTATATTTTAGAGCATGGCATAGAATTTTGAACACCATCTACGGTTTAAGTTTACGATATTTATAGAAAAGTAAGTATAGATTAATTATATTAAATACCTAGTATATAGCTTTGCTTTAAGGACATTTTTTGCATTTTTAATAACTTTTTTAAAAAAGTTTGAAAAAAACAATTTTTTTTCATACATCGCACAAGTATTAATTTTTGCAACGTGACTGAAAACATAAAAAGTCATTTTAATGCATAGGCATAAAAGTAAAGCACTTTTACGCCTAAGCACAAAAGTACGAAATTATATATTATTAAACTGACATAAAGTGTAAAATTCAAGTGTACAGTTCGTTTGCTGGATCTGTGTCTATGAAAAGAATGCGGACAAAAAACATTTAAATAAACAACAATATATATTATACGTCGACTTGACGAGTACGTCACCGCAAATCGCTCCGCCCACTCATTTTATTGGCTACTTGCAAATTTGTCGAATTTTTATTGATGGGACGCGTCGTCAAATTTTTTACGAAAAACATGGAGAGAATATCGTTTCCCCTCCCACGGATACCCCGTAGCTATAGAACGGACAGACAAACTGTAGTTTGATAGAGCATTTAAATCTACTTCTATTTATTTTAAAAAATAGATGGTGTTGCATTTGAAATAACGGAGTTTATATGTAAAATAAACATTTAAAATAGATCAGCAATTTCTGGTACCCCTGTTTTAATAAAATATTATTCTTACTTAAACACTTATTTAAAATAAATATTTAAAATACATCAGCAATTTCTCGTATAGTCTGTGAAACGAATAACTTTGAATTTGGCAGTTCCCGCGGGCTTTTCTAGTGTTAATTTTATTAGGTTAGCAACTTGCGGCCATGCTGACGCAATGTCGTCACTAATAGAACAGCCTCGGAACGAGATTTATGACGTCACGCTAGTTAGAATAAATAAATATATATCGTAGGCGTACAGCGAAAATCCACTAAGTCACATTTTTGGTTGAATTGGATTAAACACACCACTATGTCCAGTTTTTCACGGTCTTTAACATGAAAAACCCATTAAGTCCAATTTCGGCATCCTTATATTATATTATAAGGATTTTTGGATTATATTCGACACTATTTTTTTCATATGACACAACACTGATGAAGGCTATAATGTTAGCCGAAACGTTTTTTTTAAACAAAAAATGAAAAACCAAATGAAAACTTAATCAGCGTTTTTCCCGAACCTAAATCCCAAGAAAATCAAAAATTTTAGAACAGTTTTACATATAAAATGACAGCGATTTTTATTTCATAGCCATCGCTGACGCCTTTTTTTCTATGATATTGTATTGTTTGCAAATATAATTTTTCGAACATTGATACTTGCAAAATATGCATAAAAATTTTGTGAATGTAAATTAATACAGCACTATTAGTAGATATTGAATGTTTTTTGTTAAATTAGATCGATTTTCAAACCCCCAAATTTAAAGTATATTTTACATTTTACCCATTATCTTATGTATCTATTCATTATTTGTATATCGTAAAACATTTGCTGCATTTGTATGGTTCATAGTTTATTTGCCAAAGTTATTTATTACTATAAATAGGTATATATATTGTATTTATTAACTGTGTATTATGTATATTTCATGTAAACTATATCATTTTTAAAATACAAACCAAAAATACGAGGAATAATTATGTTTTCCATGTATTCTACAACATATTTATTAATCCGTAGTATCTAACTAGCGTGACGTCATAAATCTCGCTCCGAGGCTGTTCTATTATAGACGCCATTGGTCGATATTTAGAAATGTCAAAAGCTAATGACATTTTACTTTTGACAATTATGTCATTTCGTGTTGATTTTTGCACGAAGAGGAAAAATTGTCACTTGTTTTATTATTTTCCTTTTCTATTTCACGAAAGTAAAAAGAGTTACCTATCTGATTCGTTCAGGCCAAAGTCCAGGCACTCAATTTAATGAATATCAGTAACTTTTTTGATAGAGGGATTTTATATTTGCCATGTTGGTAAAAAATAACGGTCAAAATTCAAAGTTATTCATTTTATAGACTATACCCCTGTTTTAACCAAATATTATTCTGACGTCCTATCAAAGAGTATTATAATAAAATATTCTTTGGTCCTATAATACGGGTGCGTCTCAAAAGTGGCTTACCCCTATAACTTTTTATTTTTTCAGATAAAAACCCAGATTTGGTATGTTAGTATGTGACATAAATTAGGATTGATTCACGTCATCAGTAGGATTGATTGTTTTCGATCACTTCCTGTTTCACAGGAAATGACTAGGTACCTACAACTTTTGATTTTTAAATGGCACCCTCGGTATTTGGTACTTTATTCGATAGAAAATTACACTTTGAATAGAATGGCATATCATATGTCAACTTTTGACATTTTCTCATATGGTTTATTTGAAATTGTGGCATGCGGTTTATAACGACATTTTGACTCGAAATACCAAGTGTGTGATACTAAATTATTCGTAAAAAATGCTCTTTCCAAATATGCTAACGAACCACACTTGTTCCATTTGAAAAAATTGAGATATGAATAAAAATACGATTTGGGCATCTTTTAACCGGTCAGGACAAGACACGAAAAACCTTAGACGATCAAATCTATTTTTCCAAGGCTCCTTTATTAAAAATTAATGTTTTTAACACAGCCATTGAAATTTGAAATGCGATTTTTTTAAGCCAATATATCAAAAGTTGACATATGATATGTCATTATTATATTTAGAGTCTCATTTTCTATCGAAAAAAGTAAAGAAATACCGAGGGTGCTAAAAATCAAAAGTTGTGGTCAATACTCCAGAGTCGTTTGTGACAAAATAAATTAATAATATTCTATTACTTACCGAACTCAAGGGAGAGGGGGTGTATGTACTATTTGTTTAGATTACTGTTTTAAAATATTTTAGTTGCTGTGGTGGCGCCTGTTGCATCCGGTAGCCAGGGCGCGGGCGGCCGCCCGAGTCGCCCGGCCCTTCCGTCGACCCTGTTTAAACGTATTTAATGAATACCTTATACATACAGTCTGGTATCACACCGGTATAGATCTGAATAGTCTGGAACAGTCCTGTATAGTCTGGAACTCTCGAAATTCAGGACCATTCAGGACCAAAAAATACCAGAGATCATGCCAGAGATATGAAAGTGGTTTAGTGTAGTTTGGTTTGCTAGCAGGGGCGCATATACGGGAGGGGTAATGGGGGTAATTAATTAATATATAAGTAAGTAAGTATAATAATTAAGTAATCTGGAATAAATTAAAATTGTCACAAAATAAATTAATAATATCAATCAAAATAGAAATCCAGAAGAATCTAAATTTACTTTTTTCCATAGTCGCAATATCTTTGAGCGATTTAATTTAAATTTATTACTTTATTTAAATATTACCAATTGCCACTACCCCTCCCAGGCTCATGCACTCTCTGGATGTGCTACTGTTTGCTAGTATCGGTAGTATCCCTTCTATATCTCTGAAAAATATCAAAGTTGGCTGGGTTTTTGGTTAAAATATAGGTATCTAATTATTCTTAAATACATATTTTCGTATTTGTTTACCACTACCGATTAATTATTTAAGGAATAAATATTAGTTTCATTTTAAATTGTAAATATAAGTGTCTCTGTCTTGGTGTTTTGACACTTTGGCTTTGTTTGAAATTTGATTCCAATTAGATTTTTGTCAATTGCAGGGTCTATTTTCCATCTGGTCGGGCCCTAAGGTCCAAGCAAAAATTCGGGCCCTCTTTTCCAATAAAATTCAAGAAATTATGAATATTTTACAACCTTTAACGGGCCCCACAGACCACCGGGCCTTATGGAGAAATAGGCCCTGGTGAATTGTGTATTAAATAAACCTGTTCATAAATACCTCTGTAGTTTCTTGATTACTATATGCATTACATATTTCCATAAATATTACATTTATAAACATTAAAAATATTTGTTTCTTCTTCTATATTTTTAATTTTTTTTTAATAATGTAATAAAAATATAAACTTTCCTGCTTTTTTTACATGTATCTCTGAGAATATTATAGGAAGTCTCTGATATGTAGATGTATCTATAGATATACCAGCTTATACCTAATTACAGTAGGAAATTTTTTAAATCCAGTACATTTTTTTCATAATTCAGTACATTTTTCAAAAAAATAGTACAATTTTAAAAAGTCTCGCGGCGAGACTACAGCCCTACACAGCTGACCGTGCTGTTTGTTGTTTATCTCAGCTGTTTTGTGAATTATTTAAAAAAAAATAGTTTCTGGTTTAGTTTATGGAGGGTGAGTAATTTTGTGAAATTTATATTTTGATTAAGTATTATTACCTGTGTTAAATCAGTAGTTTTAGCACATTTTGACATAATAAAGTCCTTACTAGACTTATGAAATCATAACCTTATTCTACGTAAATATAACTAGAGTCTACGTCACACTAGTCTACTCGGGCACTTAACAATGTTGCCAAGTTGTAGTAGGTTGTTTATTGTGTTATCATTTTAATAATTTCAAATTTCAAATACCCTATGATCGAAAAAAAAACGGCGTCAGCGATGGCTATGAAATGAAGATCGCTGTCATTTTATATGTAAATTTATATGGGAAATGTCATCGATGTTCATTTCATAGCCATCGCTGACGCCGTTTTTATTCGATCATACGGTATTTTTGTTTATGAAAATATAAGAGACCTCCTTTATACAGGGTGTTTCATGAAACACCTTTCGTGTAGAGATTCCTCATGCAGAAATATACTTTTAATTGATAAAATGCAAGTTAAATTTTTTATCAACTGCCATGTACAGGGTGCTGCCACTCATACGCCGCGGAAGCTTCAAGGATAACGGTAGTTTATATCGAAATGAAATTTTGGCAGCATATGTAGAGTAACTGAACTGCATTTTATAAAAATATATAGAATTATACAGGGTGTTCCCAAAAAAAGTTACACATCAAAGTTGTGTTTTTTCTAATGCAACACCCTATAGATTAATTGATTTTCGGATTCTAGGAAAAAAATAAAAGTGAGTTTTATTAAAGAAGTATATATCTAAAATCTAAGGATTTTGACATATTTCACATTTTGTGAAAATGCTTTATTGACAAGGCGGTTGCCGGCGTCATATAGCTGCTATTTTGCTTACGAGATCTGACTATTTATAAGCACAAAGTTGCACGAGAGAGTTTTGATTGCGTTGGTTTTAACTTTTTTGGGAGGTTAATCTGTTTTTACACAGGGTGTTTTCTACGATGTTCTCTATGGGTATCTCTGAAACTACTGGAGATAGTGTTGGTCATAGACTTAAAATAAAATATAGACTGAGCATCTCATTCATAAATAGCTGGAACATGCGGCCAGACACTGTCTTGTTATTGTTGTGTTATTGTTTTAGGTTATAACGAGTGCGACACGAGCGATAGATAGGTTGTCTCTGTCGTAACGGTCGTTCCCTGACGACTCTGCCGAGAAACACAACACTGTCTTTCGTTCTCAAGTACACCTGAACTCTCCGTATCATAGCCGGGTAATTTTTTTATTTTAATGAAGCTATAATTAAATTAAAAATATATCGTATTTAAACTTTTTTATATTTTATTAAGATTTAGGACAGGTTTTTAAATAAAAGTTTAGAAAAACAATTTAGAGTCCAAAAGGATAAAAATAATAAAATACACGTTATAGAAGAAATTTTATAATCGAAATTAGGTAATTTTTGAAATTAATAATAAATTATTAATTTTAGTCAAACATTTACAACCCCTAATATTAATCAAAACAGGATCTATTCCACAGATATAATCGGCGACAGGGAGAGAAAAAAAAATATGATTGTTGTAATTTTTTTTCTGGTTAAGTGATGTCTTATTATATGTAAATTAGAGAAAACATAAATCTGTTCCATTAAAGCAAGGAAGGTGATAGGAAGTGGATAAAATAAAAACTACATTTATTTAACTCGGTACTGTCTTTATTATACCAGGTGAGTCTCAAAAGTGGCTCATCCCCATAATTTTTTTATATTTTCAAATAAAAAAACAAGATTTAGTATGTTAGTATATGAAATAAATTAGGATTGATTGACGCATTCGGTTTTTGGTCACTTCCTGTTTCACCGGAAATGACTATAACTTTTAATTTTTAAACGGCACCCTCGGTATATTTCTACTTTATTCGATAGAAAATGACACTCTGAATAGAATGACATATCATATGTCAACTTTTGACATTTTCTTATATGGTTTAATTGTAATTGTAACACGCGGTTCATAACGACAATTTGACTCGAAATACCAAGTGTGTGGTATCAATATATTCATAAAAAAATGCTTTTTCCAAATATGCTAATGAGTCACCCTTGTTCCATTTGAAAAAATTGACATATGTATGATTAAAAATACGATTTGTACATCTTTTAACCGGCCTAGACAAGACACGAAACCTATTAGACGATCAAAACTATTTTCCAAGGCTCCTTGATTAAAACTTAGTGGATTGAAAAAAACTGGATTGAAATTTAAAATAGGATATGTTTTTAAGCGACAATGTCAAAAGTTGACATATGATATGTCATTCTATTCAGAGTGTCATTTTTTATCGAATAAAGTAGCAATATACCGCGGGTGCCTTTAAAAATCAAAAGATGTAATCATTTCGGTGAAACAGGAAGAGACCAAAAACAATTGAATACGTCAATAAATCCTAATTTATGTCATATACCTACTAACATACAAATCTGTTTTTTTATCTGAAAAAATAAAAAAAGTTATAGGGTTGAGCCACTTTTGAGACGACCCGGTATATTAAAAAATATTGTTTCATAATGTAATATCATTTTAAAATTCTTGTATGTTATTTTAGATTCTGAAGATAATTTTAGAATAAACCGGAATATATTTTTAATAAAAACATTATGATTTTGTTACAATGTAAGTAAGTAAATAATGTAATGTGAAAGAAAAAATTCAGATTTTACATTTTACTAAAATATTATCTAAATAAGCGCCTTTCTACAACAACGCCACTGACTGCCAATGGGTAAATTGAGAGTTGCCTACCGGTCAAAAGTCGTTTCAAAACTTAAATGGATTATTTAAGTCAAATTTCTTGCAAATTTGGCACTGGCGAACCATATTTTATAGTTCTTGAACAAAAAAGTAAACAAAATAAACACTTAAGGACTACAAGCTAAGCAAATGCGTTAATACAGCCGCGGAGATAGCGGCAACAAAGCTTTACCGCACACGTGCGACACGTACTGCAAGGTAATAAATGAATGAATAGGCGACCTCGCTTCTAATCGGTGTTGCAATATTGTAAAGAACTTATGCTTTTTAAATAGTATCCGACTTATAATTTAGTAGTATAAGGACTATTTAATATATCTATGGAATATTAAAACCTACTTTATTAAAATGTAGTATTAATATCTCAATATACATATGTGTATAACAAGAAAAAAAAATATTGATAATATTAAAGACGTGACAACATAGGCTGGATGAGGAAGGCTCGGTCGACTGTACCCAGAAGTAAACATGTGTACAAAAAAGGTTGTTTGTCCGCGTTGAGATGTAATTAGTGTAGTCTATATTTTATTTTAAGTCTATGGTGTTGGTTCTTTGAATAAGAAGACTAAGGAAGGAGCATAATGCTATCCATGTATTCATGCATGGTGGGCGGAAAAGCCACCATAAAAGCTCTCTAGGGTGGGGATCCTTGACAGTTCTGTTTGACGATTCATTTGACACATTTGAATTTGATTTGAAATTTTGTGGATTTGTCAGTCCTTACGGAGCTTATTTTATGTTATTTATTATTTATTCTACTACTGATAGTTGTATAAAGGTAGTAAATCTAGATGGAAATTGTGGCAGCACTTAAATTAACAGTGACACTATCGCGATTTATCGAAAAAAGACTCTAAAATAGTTGGTTGTGTAGCGTGCGGTAGATCTCGGCAAAATTGAGTGAAATAATGGAACAACTTTTCACTAGTAAGTGACTATATAATATACATACGTGTAGTAAACCGATCATTTATGAAATTCACTTAAATTAACTAAATTATATATTTTTCTTGCATTTTAGCTTTTATTTATTACTTGTCAAAGATTAGATGTCAAAGAATTTAGATACGTTAATTTGACTTACCTGCTTCAGTAGCGTATCGGATGTTTGTGTTAATATATACTTATTATAACTTATCTATTTTTATTAGAATTATATATTTTTATAACAATTTTAATAACTACCAACATTTATTCACAACGTAAAATAAAACAACAAATTATTGAGTCTACCCCACGTCTACCCTACATCATAGTTTTACATTTTTTAAATAAAATTAGAACGACACTGATAAACCGGAATTTAAGTCGGCCATATTTGAGGCCCATCGCGGTGTACCTAAGATTTTTGATATGCTCCTTCCTTAGTCTTCTTATTCAAAGGTGTCGGTTAAATGCGGAAAGAATTGCAGTTTTGTGGGGTCGTAAATATGCGCCTTTCAGATTTTTGAAAACGTTTATGGTTTACTAGATATTTCGATAAAAACAAATTTGGGCTATTTTAAAAATTGTCCCTAATTCCACTATAATCTATTTTATTACAAAATTATTTACAAAAAATTTTCAGATAAAATTTGTAGATAATCACATCTTTAATGAAATAGTATTCTCCGTTTTTTTTTTCTAAAGCCTGTCATTTTTGACATATGCCACAAACAAATGTTTTTTTTTAATGGAAACCAATAGTTTGTCATGACTTCATAAAAATCGCCATTTTAAACTTTTCAGCGATAAATATAGAGAACATCGTACATACAAATTACATCGTTATTCATACAAATTTGGGTGCTTTCAATGTCTTGATTTTAAAATATCTACAGTACGTCTGCTGGATCTGTGTCTACGAAAGGAATGCGGACAAAAAACATTTAAATAAACAGCAATATATTTTATACGTCGACTTGACGAGTACGTTACCGCAAATCGCTCCGCCCACTCATTTTATTGGCTACTTGCAAATTTGTCGAATGTTTATTGATGGGACGCGTCCTTTAATTTTTTACGAAAAACATCGAGAGAATATCGTTTCCCCTCTCACGGATACCTACACAACGGGCAGACGTACTGTATATATCATATACAGTACCGGCCAAAAGTGGAGAAACTTTTAATATTTTTACTATGTCAAAATACAGTTTACTCTCTGTAGAATAGGATATCTAGAAAATATTTCGCATTTAATCTGCTTTGTATAGCCATATAAAAACTGCTTATTT